GTCCAGGTCCCTGTGCCAACTGCAGTCTACGGCGGTGGAGCTTAGGGAGAAGCCTGGCTGCAAATGGGCCCGACTGTGAGTCCAACAGTTCCAGCTCGGCAGGGCCAACACTGCGGCGATGTTCAGCCAGAGCAAAGTCATCAAGGACTCTAGAAGCAGGGCGCTGCCAGCCACGCAAGGGGACCTCTGGTTCAGCGTCGTCGGCTGGCTGCACAGGGGCATGCTGGGGCAAGTGCAACCGCAAACTCACACGTGAGCCCGGGCGCAAGCGTACGCAACGCAAACCGGGCTCGCGGGGCCGCGGTGTATAACAACAACAGCCAGGCGACCTGCGTGTCACCAATGCGCGGCGACATGCGCAAGAGTTCACAGTGTCAGGCGCTCAAAGACTGGAGGTGATTCGCGATGAATTGCGGCGAACCGAAGGGAGTGCCGAGCAACACCAAGCCGCCGGATGTGGGTTCAGGCGCTTGGCCACCGAACCACACGCGACCGTCAGACTGAATATTTTACCGAGTCGGTTGGAAGTGACAACAGCTTAGTGTAAGGGGACGCCTCGGGCGGCCGACCGCTGCCATCCTACGGCATTTGCTGACGAAATGCAGCTGGGCCTACTTTGCGATTCGTCGCTTTTCTGGGCTGTGTTATGGCTGCCACCCATTTGCAATCAAAGCCGGGCGGCTGCGAAACAAAACCGTAAGCTGATGCTGGGGGTCAGCGAAGTCCGGCGATGTCTGTTTCCGTGGCATGCGACCGACACTGCTCGAGCGGAGCGGCACGCAGCACCAGCGAGGTGGAACATCCAACGCAGGCCGGACTGCCGGGTCGCGTCTCGCCCCCATTTCGCCTATGTGTGCAGCTGCTGCTCGCGCGGAGAAGTAACAATGCCAACTGCAGGTGCATGGCTTCGGGTGGCAGCGGTCTACCATGCTCCAGCTTGAAGACCGGCGTGCGACACAAGTAAGGTGCAAGCGGCTGAGGACAAGGAAGGCAGCAACGTGCGGGCGCAAATACACAATGTTGCTAGCCATGCGGCCAGTTGTGTGTGCCTCCGCGCACCGACGTTCGTTTCCATACAGACATGCGTGTGCCACCGCAAACAGATGTGTGTGCCTCTGCGCACAAACGTTTGTGTTTGCCTCTGCACACAGACGTGCGCGCCTCCGCACAAGGACAGCCTCAGATGTGTGTGCTTCCGCAAGAAGACGGGTGTGTGTGTGTGTGTGTGCGTGCCTCCGCACACCGTTGTGTGTGCTTGGCTTGCGGCGAGGCGCGCAGGAAGGGGCCCACTTTGCTCGCAATGAAGGGATGTGGCGGCAATTGCCCTCACAGCGGACCAAGAGGAAGGAGGCGTGGGACTTGGCAACGAGGACTGAAGTGGCAGCCTTCGGGCATTCAGTTTTGACTTGACGTGACTTGCCGGAGATGCCCAGTAATCGCTTAGCGTTGAGGTCGCGGACGTGCTGAGTGCTCTGTGGCGCCGGAGGCTACGAAGACGAAGCGTCGGCGATCGTCCGGGGTTGACACCAGGAGGAGGCGTCCGAGCGAGCCACTGTTGCGGAACGAGGTGAAAGTTGTTCTATATCATTGTATATCCGTGTTGCCAATTAGGATCCCTTGCGCTTCGCCCTTGCGCGCTGCATGGCCGTGCTTGCGCGTGTGAAGCATTTTGAAGACCGGGGTTTGTTACATCCTTTTCGCAGCACATACAAATCTTTTTCTGGGTTTGCCACGAGACGCTCTTTTCGTGCTTCAGACAACATGTCCCGTGTTTGCATCCGCCTACAACGCTGCTGAGTATCACTCCTGAATCAGCTGTAGCCACAAGCTTTGAGCATAGCTTGCGAGCACCCTTGCGGGCCCTCGAAGGGTGTGCACTTTTAAAGATTTTTGGGCGACGGAATTTTCGCGAATCGCTGGCAAAAAATCTCACCAAAAAGAACAACGCTCACATGGTCGCACTCGTGCTCAAGCGGCTTGGCACGTTGGGCAAGCAGACAGGCACGAGGCTTGCAATGGCCCGTTTTCTTTTTTCGCTCCAAAACAAATGGTATTTTCCTTCGCCCTGCGAAAGCTGTGGGGTAAAGGACAGCGAACTCGCCTGCAATTGTTAGGGTTCGGATATTTTGTATACGTTGATCGAGCTTTTGTCTGGCACCGCGCTCAGTTTGCAGTGCTTGCTTGTAATTTTTGATTAGCATGTCGTAGACAAGCTCAACAGCAGACTCATGCGCTGCAGTGTGCTTGTGCGGCGGGATGGGGCGGGGCTCGCGTAGCCTGAACCCGGTGGTCGCTGAGCGGCGAAGGCACGGACGGAGAAAGGCCTAGCTTGGGACAGCAGCAGCGCACGACACGAGGGTATGAGTAGGAGGTCGGAAAAGTGCATCTCGTACGCGCGCTTGTTGCCAGCGCGGGCTCCGAGCTATTGCCAGCTTTCGAACGGCCAGCGGTCACCAGGGGCAACAGCGGGGTCGGCACGTGGTGCTCTGCCGGTAGACCAACCCGGGCATCAAAGCCGGGGTCGCAGAGGTGCTGTCGCGCTAGGACTGCGGCAGGCAAAACCCTTGACCGCACAGTGCTCTGAGGAGGCGGTCAGCTGCGGCAAGCGCCACACCCCAGTCGCGTTATGTCGCGTTCTCTCGCCTGGCGTGGTTACTCGGCGGCGGCGGCGCAGGTGCGGGGTAGAGTTGGGCGGATCAGGACAGGGCTCTCTCGAACGTGAGGCGCTCCAAGCGGCGTGGCGGAGGCGCTGGACAAGCAAACCCAGGCGGGCAGGGCAGGGCAGGGCTGCGGGGCCAGGCTCAGGAAAGCGCAAGCGCAGTCGGGGCCCCCACTCCTCGTGCTCGGGGCTAGCGAGACTGGAACACCTCACCAGCCGTTGGGGCCGGGTGGGCCGGGTCCGACCCGTTGTCACCAGTGCTGCAAGGGGAGCACCGGCGGCCAGGGCTGTCAGCAAGCTGCTAAGCACCTCCGGGGCGTGCCGCCTCCGCTTGGATGAGCATGCAAAGGCCTCGAGTCTCGTCCGCGACACCCACGGTCCCACGGTCGAAGAGCCAAAAAGCCTTGGCATGGATACCAACTCGCGGTTGACGCCACTTTCATCAGCCAGGTGGAGCGTGACGGGGACCCGGAGGGCTTCGATGCCCATGCGGGCTTGGTGCTTGCCAATGACACCAAACGCACGCTAGGCACGTGAAGCCGCCGACTTCGTCCGCCTGCTTGCGCACAGCTGGCCGGTGCTGCGTGCGCTTACTGAGACCGACTGGCATGCGGCACACTGGGCATCCTGTTGCGACATGTTGCCCGTGATGCAAGATCGGGCAGCAGCTGCTGCACGCCATTTTGCAAGCTTTGCACGACCCAATTGCAGACCAAACGCCATCCATCATCGCTGCACGATGCTGCGCGGCAATCAGCAGCTTTCCTCCGAGCCTGAAACCCCACCACCCCCAATGACATCTTTCGCATATTGCTTCCGCGCCTGCGCCGCATTCGCTTTGCGGCTCCCGCTTGCGCATCGCACTTGCCGTTGCCCGGGGCACATCGATGCCTCAGGAGACCACCGTGCCACGTGCGCTACGTCTGGTGTGTTTTTTTTCCCTTTGCGACTGGCGTTCCGCGGTCAATGTGCAGGAAAGAGACACTGCTTTTGCGAGGTCAGCGTCCTCCACGCTCACTGGTGCGGGGGAAGAAGGCTGGCAACAGGCGGGGGTTGGTCGACCCGAGTTGAGGCTAGGACCTCGTTGAGCAGGGGCTGGCCGCCGTCAACACATTCGCGGTGCCGGCGAAGGAAAAATCAAGGAGACTGGCACCCAAGGCTCTGGCTGCTGCGCGCGCCAATCGCGTTGAGGGCGCTCTTGCCAGAGTTTGCCGCGAAGCTATAGACCACGGGTGGCGCTGGATGTGCGTCTTGCTGACATGAAACTGGATGGGCACGACGCACGGCACATCGAAGTTAGCAAACAGCATGGTGATCGCCGTAGACATCGACGGTCGTGCCACAGCCATGTCCCCATGCCCACCATCTGCCCGTTGCGACAAGCAACGTCAGGCACAATCAACGAAGCAAGCGAATGAGCATCGGTCAGGCGGCCCGGAGGAGCGACCGAGCCATGCGGCAGCAGCGGCCGAGACTGTGCTGAGCGCAGCAGCGCCGGCTCGGGCGGTGCGCGAGGTGGCAGCCATACTCGGTTTCGCGGACGTTGAACAAGCGCGGCGGGAACCGTGATCCGCTCGCCAGGCTCCGGGAGCTCGCGCTGAGCCGGTTGCAGGCATTCATGGATAGCACGTTGGATCACGCTAGGTACACTGCCATCCTGTGCGGGCAAGGTGGGCGCCAGCCGCAGCGGCAGCGCGCAGGCAGGCAGCAAAAGATCCTGGCCCGGCAATGCCTGCTCGGCCAGGCAACGCGCAACGGCTTTAGGACCTCGCAGCCGTAGTGCGGGGCTGAGACCAATCAACCGCCATCGTTTGACCAGGGGTCCAATTTAAGATAAGATTCCAAATATGCAGGGTCTGGGAGCAACTGCCATCGCCCAGGGTCCGGTTCAGATGCGATATCAAGTGCATTCGCCTTGTGCAGAGCGGGGCTTGTGGGATCGACCTGGTCGGGTTTCAACGTCCAAGCAAATTATCGTTTGTGATGTCGAGAAACTGTTGGCTTGCAGGCTTGTAGGATGATTGTCTGTAATTGTAAGCAAGGCCATTCTTGGATGTATGAAGGTTCGGAATAAATCCGGCAAACCATGGTCCAAATGACGTCGTATGAACCCGACACCCTAAACCTGGATGTGTGTGCCAGCCATTGCTGCCGAACGACCCGTCCCTAAAGCCCGACAGCCTCCCGAACGTGTGGTCGGCGGCCAGCGGTAAGGCGGCAGAACTATGCCAGCCTTGGTGGCCTGCGCATATGGTTGTACGAGTGTTGTACGAGTAGGAGAAAGCAGCCGTGTTTGCGGAAGCGACTAGAGCAACCCAACCGCGTGAACCGTCGCTCGTGTCGGTTGGTGTGGCAGCGGCGCGCCCGCAAGGCCCAAGAGTGCTGAGAGGCATCGTCCGACGGCAGTGTCATGCGACGAAGCATATCCGGGCGTCATGGCCGGGGGCAAAGAACGCAGTAGGTAGTTGGCACGTGGCTAAGCACGGTTATGCAGCAACAATTATGCCGCTTGGAAGTCTTTTAACAAGCGGGATGCGCTGCAGGAGGCAATCGTGTCGCTACCAAATGGCGCGCAAAGGGCGGCGGGAGTGCCCAGTCGCCAACCCACACGTACGGCGGCATCGGACTCGGACACGCTCCGGACAGGCGACGAAGTGGGTGCCATCGAGTAGTGCACCGCCACAGAGGATGGTGCGCTTTCGCGATGTCTCCACACGTTTCTGGCCTCCTGGGTCGGATGGGTGGGCCGCGGCCAAGAATCTAGGCTCCCATTGGCTCCCTTCATGTTTCCTTCTTTGTGGGTCCTGGGTCGGATGGGTGGGCCGCGGCCAAGAAGCTGGGCTCCCGTTGGGCTCTTTTCATGTGGGGTAGGCAGGTAGCTAGGTAGGCAGGTAGGTCGGTCGGAGGCAGGTAGGTCGGTAGGTAGGCAGGGAGGGAGGTAGGCGAGAAGGTAGGTAGGGTAGGTCTCGTTCCTTCTCGGCGCCCATCCTTCCGCTGCTGGCTCGACGCGGTCACCCTTGGTGAACCTGTGCCTTGCCCGCGGCATCGAGTGTCGTGCCCAGGAGGCTGCATGGAGCTTGTCCGCCATCGTGCTTGTTCATGCGTGGCACGCTGTGGCACCTGGTCAGCACCGTTGTACGCAACGAGGAGCCCTGGAAACGTCGAGCCGTCAACCCCAAACCTTGGTGATTGGCCGCACCTGGGTGACTGAGGGTGGCCATCCCGCCACCCCTGCATGAGTTCCTCTGCATAATGCATAGGCCTGTGATGGCATGAGCTCAAGTACATGATTGAGTGGAGATCAATGCTCCAAGACCCGCGTCTTTTGAACGGCATGCGCAACGCAGATGAGCACATGGGCAGCCTGCCTCTTGCAAAAGCACAACTGCCTAGACTTCGACAACTTGCAAATGAGGCAACCGCCGAACCTCATTCCATGTGCTGCGGCGTCCTCGCAAGCTAGGAATCGATGGCTGTAAGGTGTCGGCTCGTTCATCTGTGGGCTCGCCCGAGGCAGTTCCGTTTTTTGTGGAATTTGTGGGGTGAGTCTTTGAGATCTCCGTGAGGATCCGCGATTGACTTCGGCCAACCGATTACGATTGATCCCTTCCATTTTTGAACAGTCCAAACCGGTTGGTAATCCCTCGCTTCCTTCGGAAGCGAGAATCCTTCTGCTTAACCTGTTTCGGGGTAGAAACCCGGTTTTGGTGGAGGTCGTCATGTGAGATCACTGAGGGGGAAAGAGAAGACGCAGAAAAGATCAGATCGAGACCGCGACAAGCGAGAGGAATGCCGGGCATTGAAGAGGCAGCTGCCCAAACCGCCGACAGCGTAAGCTTGGCAAGCTCCTGTATCAAGTCCATGGTCGTCCTGTGCATGGAGAGGGTCCTCCGACCCCTCATTTCGTCGACCTCATTGGGTAAGTGGAAGCGGACAAGGAGCAGCGGCAGCAGCAGCAGCAGCAGCAGCAGCAGCACGAGCAGCAGTCATCACAGCCTGAAGCAGTTGTCAGAACAAGAAAATCTTTTTCAGAAGAGGCCCAAGCCCGCAGCTGGTGGAGCTTGCTTTCTGCTTCTTTCCAACACGCCGTTGGTCAGACAGCGCCACGGCGCGCTCGGGCCATGCCGGGACACCCGAAGGGCCGAGCCGCCTGCCGCTGCGCTCAGCCGACCCTAACCCGGGACCCAGCTTCCCCTATTGGAGCCTGACCTAGCCGGACACAACTGTTGACGGAAAAAGGTGTGTCAGAAAAAACACTATTATCGCGACCACATGCTGCTGCCGGCTTTACAGCCAGCATTCCAGGCCCTGTTACGCTCACAAGACTGCTCCTGTGCGCAGGGTGTGCAGCTGCGGGGTCGTCGTAGTGTCAGGTAGGAAAAGGCGGGGGCTGCGCATGCCAGCTGTGTTGCTCAAGCTTGCAGGTGTACGAATCAGTGGCGTGGAACAAGAGTTCGTGTTGCTCCCCGCTGGGGTCCTCCCCAGCACAGCCTCCTGCCCTGACTCCAAGGCCGAGCCGCCTGCTCTGCTGGCTCCCACACTGCCGCCGCGGCGGGCGTGGCACTAGGACTGGCACCGGCACCGTCGGTGGACGTGGGCGCGGACGCCGGGCAGCGGACGACAACCGTCAAGGGCCCGCCCGCCCCAGCAAGAGATATAAGAGATGCCGCGGATGTCCCCAACCCCAATCCCGGCGGCACTGCCCGCGCAACGCCGAGTCGACGCAGCAAAGGGCGGATGGGGCTCGAACTTGAAGTTATCTGCGAGCGTTGCCGCAGCAAGAGCTCCAAGGTTGGTAACTGTTCCTCTTGGCTGGCGCACATGCTCCTCCACCGTCCCGCGGGCGAATCGCGCATCCCCCCTGTGGAAGCTGCGGAACTGGTGCTGCGCTGCGAGGCCTTGGCGCGCGTGGGGAGCGGTTGACCCTCCTCCAAGCCACTACCCGCACCACGTGTGGGGGTGGATGCCCGTTCCCGCTGCTCACAATGTCGAGGCCAGAGCAACTGCAACATTAGTCCACCTTGGCGAGCTTTCAGCTGCAAGCCGTGCTTTGGCCGCAAAGCCACTCACGCCTTCAAAGCTACCCTCGCTGAGCCCCGGGACCCCTTGCGCCTGCCCGAGCCGTGGGGCCCCCCATGCCGTCCGAGCTCGCCGACTACCAGCTCGAAGAGCCGCGTGTGTTCCCGCTTTCCGCTTTTTTCAGCGGCACGGCGCGGAGCTGCCGCTGGCCCGTCAAGAGCTACCAACAAGTACCTCCGTATCCGCGTGGACGATGGGGTCGATAGCCACCTCTTGCATTGCGCCGCGCGCAGGCCGATGTGCCGGCGTCGTAGGCACTAACCCTGTCTACAAACAGGATGGTCCACAAGCCGACGCAACACGTCACCTGTGACAAGGGCGTCGCGTATGCCACGTTATTCCGGTTTTCCCTACGCGACGATGCCGCCAACGCGGATGGCAGCAAGGGCCATGCACGTCTCCCGCCAAGCGAAGCTGGCGGCCCACGCTCGAACTGAGCTCTGTGCTTCCCACCACATTGCACAAGCGGAGGGTGGCGAGCAAGGCGATGCCCTGGTGATGCCCGCACTGCATTCTCTTGCGCAGCACCCTGCGCTGCATGGATCAGCAAGGTCGAGCACGCAAGAGCGCATGCTCGCGGTGCCGCCACATGGGAAGTCAGCATTTCTGCTGTACACTGGTAGATTTGTGATGATTTGTGCATAATGATTCAGAGAAGGGAAAGTAAATGTAAATGCAAACATGCGACAGCCAAGCTGTGTGCTGGATACCAGGGTGCGATCCATCTTTTGCTTTTCGATATCATGCCTCCCCTGTCTTCCACAATCTTCCACTTTACTAGGTTAAGCTGTGGGCTTATATAGCCAGGTTCCACAACTGGCGAGTCTGTACAAAACGTCCACGGCCGCAGCCAGTCCTGTGCAAACTCAAAAAACTTCGCGACGCAAGCCAAGCTCGAACGGACTGCTTTGCAGTTCGGTGCCCAGCTGGAGTCCGATGTTGGCGAATATGTATGTTTCAGGACATGGAAAATCACCTGCAATCCAAGCGAGCAAGATAGAGACAGCTACGCGGTTTTGCGCAAACAGGTGTGGGCGGATCTCAAAAGGGGTTTACCATGCGAGCCAACCTTGGACGGCGCAAGGCTGAGTCTGCGTCCGACGGTGAGTCAGGCTGAACCAATGCAAGCCACTGAATCACAAACATGGGCATCATTCGAGTCCCTGTGGGAAAGTCGTTGTCATGCACTACCTCCTGCCAGGGAATTCGAGCTAAACTTCCTGCCTTACCGATTCTACCTTTGAGTCTATGACATGAGATCTTTCGAGCTTCCACAAGCACCAGATTGCACGCGATCAGAGTCAGTGTTATTGCATGTGCCTGGCCTGGCCGCCCTCAACTCTTTCACAGATGAGCTCCATGGCTCGCCTGGGATCGTTGCTTCTCACCAAGAAAGCCAGCTCCTCGAAAAGGGCTCAAAAGAGCCACATGACATGAGTTCATGTCTTTCGGTCACCTCCTAGCCTTGCAACTGCCAACATCAGCTTCTAAGTTGAACTCAGATCCTCAATGAGCGGATCGTTGCCAGCAATGGGGTCCTCGAGGAATCGTGATGCATGTCTTGGCTTTTGCCCTGTTAGAGACGCCTCGAGGATGGGGTCCGTGTGGCTCTTTCCTGCAGCGAGCAAGCGAAAAGCGTTGTCTCTGCGCCTTTGGAAGTCCGTGTGACCCGGCCCGGCCTGGGTAGAGCTTCAAGGCAGCCTCCACGCCAGCTGCCTGCAGCGCCGCAGCGAAGTGCACGGCACTTCGAGAAGGCACGCTGGTGTCCGCCGTGCCGTGGACCAGCAGCCTGCTCAGGAAACATCTTCGCGGCTCTTTATGGCTCCTGACTCCTGATCTCTGCATCTGATTTCTCCAAGCAGCACCGGAGGCAGCTCCAAGTCTCGAGTCGCTTGGCGAGTTGGGGAGAAGTCCTCCAGCCGACCCTGCCGGCGAGCCGAGCCGAGCTCTTGTCGTACATCGCTGTTGCTTTGCTGTGCTCCGCTCCGAGCCTCGAAGATTGAGGAGAGGAGGCGTCGATCCAATCCGCGACTGTGGAAGTGATCGCTCAAATCTACGAGGTCGAAGGGACCGGAGATTCCCACGAAGGCCGAAATGTCCTGGAACCAGCATGTCAGGCACAACACCCTCCGAACCCTTACCAGTAAAGGTTCTAGCGAGATGAAGTCAATGTTATAGTGAAGTAAGCTTGCTGACCACTGATGACTTGCGCTCTTGAGCTGTTCAAGTGAAATGGCTACTCCTCGATAAAGTGCTGTGTGCAGCTTCGGTAAAGACTGAGACACAAGCCCTGCCTTGGGCTTCCAATGGATTCCAGGCAGCGCCTTGGCCTTGACCTTCTTTCAGACCAGCGGATTGGATGCTGTGCCAGACTTTTGGTGAATCCAGCCAGGTGCTCACCTCACTACCAGTTGCTCTCCGGATCAACGCCATTGCGAGCAAGTGAGCACCGGCGGATTGGCCCACGAGGAAAATCCTTCCAAAAGTTGAAATCCCTCCGAGAGCAAGTGGCACAGCCGCGCCTTGATGGATCACCGCCGTAGTCCTCGCAGTGGTCGAGCGACCACTGCACCGCCAGAATGCTGTCCTGGCGCGATGCCCCAACAAGGTTTCAACATGCCGCCAGCTTGACTATGAAGGGGCTCCTCCACCATTTCTTCTCCAGTGGCTTGCGGAAAGTTCCTGTAGTCCGGAACCTGTTGTCCAGCTGCGATCGAGCCTGCCTGATGATTGACTTGGCCCCAGATGAACCAAGGAGCTATCAGGAGAATGCCAAGACGTTGAAGGACCATGCCCATGAGCATTCCCCACCTAAAGGCTTTCTGTCGAGTCAGGCACAGTGCGAGCCGACAGCTTTTGGGCCGGTCGCATCTTGTAGCCAATAATCCACACACCGCCGGTGAAAAACACGACCTAGAGTGGTTCTCAGCTCCCCATCACGAACTCAGGGCACCCTTGTCGCAGTAAGGGAAGAGCCACCGGTCGTGGCCCTGCATCCCGAAATTCCGGCCTGCCCAACGCAACTGTTCTAGCACTGTGCACACAATGCTTGATGCTGCTTGCATGCTCTACCGGTGGCCTGAGCATGTAGATGTCCTAGCACGTCAGTGCGCAATGCAGAATGGAATCCAGAACATCATCAGCTCGCACAGACACACGGCAGTTCTCGACCATCCGAGAGTCCATCAAGTGACGTCGCTTAGGTCCGTAGCGAACGAAATTGGCGACGCTGGGGTGTAGCCAACCTTGTATGTGAACCAGACTGCTTGCCAATGAATGGAATGTCGCATCCTCAAACATGAGTACTTCTCGCCTGTGCAAGTCACGACATCGACCCAGGCAAGCAACAGTAAGCTGTCGCCCTGATGAACACTGGCAACAATAAGACGATGAAGAGCAGAAGCCGTGCCAACAAGTAGAAGCACCTTCCAGCAAAGTTTACAGAACAAGATGCTGGGCTCTGAATAGCATGTAAGTGACATAGTGTCGAGCCAACTGTGCCTAGCGGAGACGTGCAAGGCCCAAAGGAGCTTGCCGGCCATGCGGACGACAAACACTGACCTCGCTGAGGTGAATGTCAGAGCAAACCAGAAACTTGAAACGAGACTCCGGTCTATTTTAAAATCGAGTGGGACTGACCCAAGTGCTACAGTGATCCATCCTATCTACCAATCTCTAGATTCGCAAAAAAGTGGCTTGCACCACCTCAAAGGCAACAGTCAGTCTGACCGCATGCTCGGCGAGGCTGGATGCGTCTTCACTTCTGGCCCAATTCATTCCTCAACTGTTCCAGCTCACGATCTTTAGCTGCAAGCTGTTCCTGTAGTTGCTTCACCTGTGTGGTCAAGTCACGAAAATGCTGTGCAAAATCAGTGACCTGGCCGGCAAGCGCGTCCAGAGAGCTCGGAAGGACTTCGCGCCGATTGAGTGGCCGCAACTTTTCCAGGTCTGATAGGACGAGATTAAACACATGGACATTCTTGCTCTTGATGTTTGCCAGCCACTCCAGAAACTCAGTGGAGGTTGTCTTGCCATCTCCATCAGCGTCTAGTACGTCTGCTAAGTTTTGTCCATCTACACGGCCTCCAGACAGTTGACACAACTCGGCGGTGACCAACGTTCCATTTTCGTCGGCATCCAAGGTGGAGAAGATCTTGGCTATTCTTGCAGCTTCGGATGCACTTAGTGCAGAGCTGCTGCCCGAGATTTCACCTCCCTCCTCCTCACTGTCGCTGCCAACAACAACTGCCTCGTATTCCGCCCATTCATGCCCGACCTCACTTTCACTGGTGCTGGAGCTGCTGATTTCGACCGTGTTATTCCAAGCCGAATCACCTTGCAAGATCTTGTCTCGTTGCTTCAGCTGAAGCTCATGGTTCCTCTGCAAGCGCCTCTCGGCCTCTTGCTCAAAGCCCCAGGTGAGCATTGACGCGGGGATAGCGAACTGTGCTGTGGCAAGCACAGCTGTGGCAACCACAATTGCCTTGGTGTACCAGGGAAGCTGACCACTCGGCTGACCCTGCCCTGTGAGCATCATCACGGACAAATACATCGTTGCCGGAATGGATTCGAAATCATCTTCCACTCCCGGGGTGTCCGGCGGCGGCGCCATGTAATACAGGACCGTGCTCGTGAACAGAATTAGGATCGCATCGATCATGAAGGCAACGCACAAGATCTCACTGTTGAAATACAACACCCGAGCAATGACATCCACTGAGCTCATCACGGAGTTCGATTTAAACAGCCGAAAGAGACGAATGACTCGTATACACTGAAGGTTCGGCAGCTCGTACGGCACAACTTGCTCGACAAACCAAGGCAGAAACGAAACTAAGTCAACAATAGAACTAAAGCTCCTCAAGAATACCAGTCGTGCTGAGCCTGCGGACAAATGGTGATATCTCTTGTTTTCGTGAATTGTCATCAGGCGGATGAGATACTCGCCCAAGAATAGCCATGAAGATGCTGCCTCGATGCTGTTGAAAAGAGCTTTGTACTTTCTGTCCGTCTCCTTGTCTGTCTGGATAATGAAACAAATCACATTCACCACAATGACGGTGGCAATGATATGCCGGAAAGCCACCACCTCTGTACGATGGCTATGGGAACTCACGAGCGAGTACCAGAAGCTGTGGCCTTGGCCGCCTCGTTCCTGGCGGCGTCGTTCACGTTCTTTCTTCGCGGCGAGCACCCGCCTCAAGCGAAGAAGATCCTCCAGCGGATTTAGTTGCAGGACGCACATTTTGAGGTGTTTCGCTATAGGTTGGCACTATAGCGACCGCTAGGAAACCAGGCGTGTTGAGAGGCTCGTAATTAGTTCGAACTGCTGACACTTCCTATGCCTTTCCAAAGACGTGCATGGAAGCGCGGCAATTTCGAGTCACAACACGATCGACGAACATGCAGTACCAAACACTTCTGCTGCTCGGCGACATGCTAAGGCTGCTAAGGGCGGAGTGATCATGAAACAGTCTTATCCACTGGTCGATGCTACGAAGGAGACTAATTGCTCGTGAACAGTTCGCCTCCTTGTTTCCCGTGGTCTGCGAATCTCCAGCAGCAGTGGCCGCATGCTTCAGAATCTGCTTGAAGTGCTTTGCTTCTCCCGGCGCCGTGGCACTCTCTGGATCGGCCAAAGCTTGGTACTCACCTGCAAACTCATCCTGCGCAGCCATTGCGCTACAGTCGCTAGCCACTCCTGACAGAGAGCTTGTGCCAATGCTTGGAGAAGGGCATTGAGTTTGATGCGGCAACTTTTTCCTGCCCTTCTGTTTGACAACAAGGGCAGTCAAAGCCTCGCACGAAGATTCTCTCAAGTACTGGCCGGAAAGTTACAGGTATGATCGGTCTGGTTGGGATCGGACTCGTATCGAATTGTTCGTTGGACTTTCTGATCTTCTAAAGTCCAACAAGTGCGAGCGCGCAAGTGCACACGGAGCAGGATTGCGGGGCTGTGTATTTCCGACGGTCGTCTGAAAGCTGCATACAACGCCGCCCACACCGAGACAAAACCCTTGCAGTCACCTGCAGACTCGCTTACCGAGCTTGAGCCGTGCCAAAGGACCTCGCACCCCCTGATGAGGTGAATGTTTGACAAGAGCCGTTGGCTTTAACCAGGTGTACGTACGTACGTACGCACGCACGCACGCACGCACGCACGCCCGCCCGCCC